TCGTGGGATCGGACTCTTTCTTGTTGTCACCGAAAGTGCGTCCGCTTGTGGTCTTTCAGTCCTGACATGTCTTTACTATTCAGCTGCGTGCCTGAGTTGGCGCAGGGGCAATTGGAAAGGGAGGCCGTCAAATTCCGGAGGTTGCTGCGTTGCAGATGTGAACTTGCAAAGCAACGATAGGGTACTGCCATCCCTGACAAGCAACACAGAGCCAGGTTTTGTCCACACTGTTCCGGCTGAAGTCACAGAAGGCTGCTAGTGAACTGTATAGTGAGCCAATAAGATGAACCCGCATTTTCCGCAAACAAAATCGTGAGAACGCCCCATTGGGCATCAGTGCGTCTTGGGCTGGACCGTGCATGGCGGGCAGGCGAAGTAACCTCATGGTTTTGCAAACTTCAGGAACCCAACGAATTCCTGCAGACCCTTTACAGAACATTTTGAGGTGCTCTCCTTTTAGCAAAAATGCCCCTGACAGGGAGGCTTTGGCAAACTACAGGTGTGGCAGCAGCTGGGACATTTTATTCATGCATTGGTGCCTACTGAGGGTTGCCCCTCCATGCAGATTTCAGCGTTGTTTTGGACTCTGAAAGCCAACCCCCCCCCCAAGTGGCCCTCCCCCTTGTTGGAGGCAAGGCCTATGTGGGTATGGACCGCACACGGCACCCCAAACCACGTGACCAGTCGTTCGGGTTTAGCATCGGCGCCAGGTCTGCAGCTTCTGCATCTGGGCCCCTCACGGGGAAGATGTGGCGCGGGGCCAAGATGTGAAAACCTGGCCGATGAAACGAAGGGCCCCCTGAGGGGACCCAAGTTGGATGAGACTCCTGCAGGGTAAAGCAACCAACCATACCATTGTTTTAGTGGTGGTGAAATATGAACCCAAGCATTGTTTTAAAAATAATGGTGGCCTGCCTGAATCCTGAAGGGTAAATGACATGAAGGGTACCCATTCTTTCCAGGCATCCCAAAAACCCTGGGGAAACAGCTGGTTTTTGAAAAGAACGATGCTTGAAAATAATGGGGAATCAACCCCCGGAATTAAATATAAACCCAAACATTATCTTTATCTGTAGTGGTGGCCTGCCTGAACCCCAGGGCAAAGAATGTTATATGAACCCAACTTATTGTTTAGAAATCTTGGCCTGCCTGAATTCCAGGGTCTGGTTGCAACTTAGAAGAAGCTTCCCCAAGCCAACGCCACCTTTGGGGACTCCCTATTTGATAGCTCCAGTTCAGGAATTCCGAATTCCAAACCAAATGGATTTGGCGGAGCGAGGGTTCAAAAGGCAAGCCTGGACCAGATTTAGAGAGAACCGCTCATTCAAGGACTTTGCCCGATCATGTGTCAGAACGTGCGTGTTCAACAAACGAAGGCAAAACACGTGCTGTGACAAGAGCGCGAAAACCGACAAAACAAGATTTTCGCATGCGCGCCGGCCCACAAACGCTCTGCCAGAGACAGCTCAGAGCGAACACGCCAAAGCACAAAAGAAACAGCACCTGTTCTCCACCGGTGGGCGTGCACACCCCCTTCTCCCCTGGCCTACCAAAGTCTTCCTTTCGTTTAGGATCTCAAGAGAGTCCCTTGCTTTGTGCCTGCAACTCTGGATGTGCCATGGTTGCATGCAGACGAGGAAAACAAACAGGGACGAGATCGAATGGCCAGCCTCCGGAAACGAGGGGCGCCTGAAACACAAGCACAAAACCACCAACAACGCAAAAAAGGGGCCCAGAAAAACTGCACTTAGCACCGGGCAGCGCTGACTCATGCCTTGCGGGCAGGACTGGGGCCGGGGATTAGGATCAAAGGTTAGGCCCGGCCGGCCTTAAGGTTTTTGCTCCATGGCCAAATCTTGGCTCCCTCCCAGCCATTCGGTTCCTTAGCTTTTTAGATTTTTTCAGTCGGTTTAGTGATAGTTTCCATTTAACCCACTAACAGTTGAACTTTTAGAAGGGGATCTGAGGGCAGACCCAGAGATCGATGTTCGTTTTTGGAAGGCATGTGCTTAGTTGTCTGTTTGTCGAGGCTGTGGAGCTTCAAAGTGCTGAAGGCCTGAGCCGTTTTCTTTCACCATGGATGCCTCCATTCAGCGTCCCTCTGGTTGGTGGTTTGGAGCACGGTGGTTTGGTGGTGGTGGTGGTTCTACAAGAACCAGGGGTTCAAATCCCAAATCACCAATCAAAGGTTACCTGATCCACGGTTGGGCACTCCGGATTTGCAGAGAGATGTTTGACATCCTTATGAATAAATGCGCGAATGGTCACCTCTATGATCTCAAGCTAGGGTCTTTGACCACTGCACATGTAACACTATTTTTCATGTGTTTGATCAAACCCCTGCTAAACTCGGGTTGTACCCTCCTCTCTGTCTCTTGAGCTGCCTTAAACCGAGTGGCCGGGCATGGCTGGCTGACCTTCGCACGTAAGTTTTGGTCCTTGCATGCTGAGCTTGGCCATGGATGTTGCGGCATCGGGCGCCTTGCTTGGCAGCACAGCATGCGCACGACAGATGCTGGGGAGCGTTTGATCAGCAGGGATGAACGCTGCCTTCGTCCACAAGGCGGCACACACTTTGCTAGCCTTTAAACAGTTTGCGTGTGTGTGTGTGTGTGTGGCAAAGCATGTTGCTTCAGAAACTTCATCGGCGTCCCAAATTATGATATGATGAGGTCTGCCCTCCAACGGGGTGTGGCTTTCCTCTACAGGTCACGCTGGCCAAGCAATTGGTACAGCCTTGAGGAGGGGTGGCTGTGTCAATCCCGCCTGAATCTGATTTCCGTTTGACTGCGATTGAGGCAGGTACTCCTTTCCGTTTGCGTTTTTGAATGTCGCGTTGAAACTGATGAATTGTTTGAGAACAGGGTTGCGAGATCAAGGGGTTTATCCCCACTTCTGTGATACAAGGCAATCTCCTCTTTGTATTGGGCGTTCCTTTTTGGTTGTATCTCAGAAGTGGGTTCCATTTCCCACAGCCCTGTTTGAGAAGGTTGACCCTGTCGCCCACCTGCATGGATCGACTTTGTGCGAGAATTGTGGCACCGGTGGTGGAATGCAAAGACCCGGAGGCTATGGCCAGGGGTCAAAACCAATGGGATCCCATTTTGGGGACCACCCATTTTAGAACCTATTTTAGTGGGGATTGGGATGTTCACTGGGGGTACGATCTGGGTTTGAGCCATGGCCATATGAATAATTCAGGCAGGTTCGCGATCATTCCAGGATTGTTCCACAACAGGTTTGATATATATATATATATATAATATTGATTGGAGGCACCTTGCTTCGTTTCTCCGGGACTTGCACAGGGGCAGATGCCTGACACGGCCGCAAGCCCGCCAGGTGGCGATGTGAAAGAGGCCGGGTTCCGCTTTCTGCACTCAGGGGGTTCCCCAACCAGAAAGCGAAGGGAAACAAAAACCCAGCTTGCCGTTTCCCAGCCCGCCCTCTGGGCCTTTAGGTTTTTGGTGTTTAGTGGTTGGTTTTCCGTAGTTCGCCCACGAAAAGCTAGTCACTTTTGGCGGGGGATCAGAAAACGGACAGAGTTTTGCATTTAACCCACTAAAAGTTAGTCACTTTTAGCCGGGGATCTGAGGACAGCCCAGCCAGTTCAACAAACAGGAGCAGTTTTGACAACAACTTTTCAGCGGCATGGCATTGGTTTGCGCCGACAGCTTCCGACTGGAAAGACCGTCCAAGTCGGCTTGAATCATGTACCTGTCATTTCGACGGCGTAACTTCACAGTGGCGTTGAATTGTCGACCTCGAATTGACAAGGCGGAGAAGCCACAAGCTTCAGGCTCATCTTATAGCAAGGTCAGGGGGGGGGCCATGGCGTTACTTTGAATCCCCCTTTGCCATGCCTAGCTATGCCTAGCCATCCTTTCTCAGTCCTCTAAGACCAGGTTTACCTCAGCACCGCCCCTTTTCTTTTTCGCACTGCAAACAGACGATTTTGGGATCCCCCATTTTGAGCAACCCTGGATTACCCTCCAAACCACTAACATGGAGCTATTTTCCGCAAAAAAGGGGCCCCCACTGGGTGGGCTCCATGTTTAGCAAGGTAACCTTCCATTTGCTTAGGAACATATTTCCTGTTCCCCTGTTAGCCTATCGCTACCGGTGATGTTTTCGCCTTTTTTTGAAAAAAGCACATGGAGGGACAGGAGAATCAAGTTCCACGTCCCTCGCTCGCATTTTTTCCTTTTTTTCTCGACCAGGTGAAGCTCGCGCGAGAGGGCGACCTTTGGCAGGGCGAGTCGCCCTGCCAGCCGGGCGACCGGTACAGGACGCCCTGGAACTTCCCTCGCGCCGGGAGCGAGTGCGACCTGCGAGTTGTCCGAAGCTTGGTGTTCACGGGTCCTGAAGTCTGTCCGGTTGCATCGTTGGGGAATTCGACCGACTAGGATGGTTTGAGTTTTTTTTTGAACTTGTTTCTTGTCAGAGACGGATGGCGATCTTGCTGTTTGGGAGAATGGCTTGATCACTTCAAGAAATTGAGCGGCATTCAATCATAGGCACAGTGATTCCAGTGACTGCTAGGGGATTGAATCAAAGGAACGTAATCGTTTGACAACTGAACGGCATCCCCACACCTTCATGGAACGAACTGGGATCTGATTTCCGGTTTCTCAACCATCGGAGCACCTTGCATGTTTGAGAGCCACAAGACCCTAAAAGGCGTGGCATCGCGAAAGCAGTTGCAAAAGGTACGATTGGTTGGGCTCAGTGATGCTTCAGATTGAGATTTGGGGGGGTACCTTTTTCTGCTTCAGGAAAACCATGGGAACGATAAGCTGTATGCCGATGCCATGCCCCTGCCCATGGAACCAAACAGTGATGCAGATGAATATTCCAAGCGGAGTCCTTCTGAATTTCTTTCAACTCGCACAACTTTTTTCCGTGCGCACAAGACGTGCATATAAGACACATGCGCTGTGCCGCTGTTGGGGATCAAGCGGATTGCAAGCGTGGGAGCCCGCAAAGCGTAGAGTGCCAGAATGGGAAAGAAGAGCTTCGACCTCAGCGATGCGTTCTCGCCAGGCTTTACTTAGGTTTGAACACCTGGATGTGTCAGAAGAGGAAATTCCCAACATGGTTTCGGGTCCCTTTTTTTTGAGCCAACCCCGAGGCTTGAAGACTTGGATATGTGCTTTGGGTTTCCTGTTATGTTGGTTTCCCTTGAAGCCAACCTCCAAAAAGGGTACCCTCGAAAAGAGCACATAGATGAGCTCAAGGCCTTGCTTCATAGGACTTGCTCACATGTGCCTTGAGGCTATCAGAACTATGGGAAGACGTTCCGTAAGCCAAAGCGCCCGTTCGAGAAGGAATGGGCTGCAGAGTGAGTGGTGCGTGCGCGGTCTTCACGCTGGCGTGATCACTGGTATGTTAACGCCTTGATGAAGCTTCCAAGAGTCTCATGAAGGACAATCTATGGCTTGACCTCCTTAGGACCCCGCAGACTACTGTATATCCCCCTGGTGACACAGTCGCCTGTGACTTGATTAGCTGACAGCCAGCCACATTCAGCCACAAATGGGGTTCGTGCATTGCACGTCACTTCACAGCCTTCGAATCTGAGATGTTGTGGGCATGTTGGGCACAGGAGCGTTTGGACGGCGAGATGAAGATCATTGGTGAGTACGGCTTGAAGAACAAGCGCGAGGCAAGACCCCTCACCATTTTGTTTGTCTTGAAATGGGTGCGGACTCTTGCTTCAATGACCTGTCAGCCAACAAGTGTTGTTTCTCCGCAGGTGAAACAGACATACTTTGGGATTTGGGCCATAGAGGTGATGGAGGCATCCTGCGGAGTTCATCCAATAAATTCCCTTCGGATGTAGACCAGGTGTGGCGTGTGCAGTACGCGCTTCTCGGCTGGGGCTTGGGCATGGGTCGGCCTGGATGGTTCATGGCAATTGTGCGAATCAGTGTGTTTTCCGATGTTGATGATCCAAGCAATATGCATCATGCAGCCACTTTTCTGGCAAATGCCGAGTGCATGATGTGGCGCCTGTTCTCCCGGGTGCCAACTAACCACAAAACGGTGTTCAAAGAGTCTTGCAACTTGGACATGTTGCTTGTCTCAGCAGAAGTTCAGACGCCCCGAATATGATTCGCTACTGGCTTGACTGAGCCACAACCATACCCAGCTTGATGCATTGAGCCAGAGATGTGCAAGTCAAGTATTGGAAGACTCATTTCCACAAGCCTATCCACCATTCTTCGGACGCAAGAGCTTCGTGAGTCGCTGACAGTATTGCTGGGGTATCGGTTTTGGGAACGATTTGTTGGTTTTGCAGGTTGGCGGCGATCGGTTTGGGGGCATTTAGGCTTTCCGGTTTTTGGTGGCGATATTGCAGTGTCACTTAACCGGATCTTCAATTGGATGCTGGGTGCACGTGCGGGCTGGAAACTCAAGATGCCCATTTGCCCTAGGGTTCAACCCCCATTAAAGAAAAGGTTGACACAATCTGGATGATGGCAATCCTTAGGCAAGCAATGGTGGTTACTATGAACCCCCATAGTTTTAATGGCGGCTTGAACCCCAGGGTCTAGGTGTCCAGTCTGAGCTGAAGAGGTGTCTTCTCCCCCAGGGCTAGGCTAGGATGTTTTCAGGCGAGAAGACTTTGACTCGAAGCAATCAGTCCGGCCTTGAAGAGCACCCGTCTCTTTCACCAGATCTTGAGTTGTTCTCCTGGCTCCAATGTGCAATGCGTCACTTCATGTATGGGCTAGCCCGGTACCTTGCAAATTCGCATAGGGAAGTGTGAACAGGCCCCCCCCCCCAGAAGGAGGTTCTCTGCAATGCTGTTTTGGGGTGGTGTCACGCTAGGAATTTCATGGGCGCGGCTCCCGAGCACCGAGCTACGTTCGGTCATCTGAGCTGCATCCCAACCTTTGCAGATGGCCCCAGGCTGGCCAAGATCCGCACTGCGGCACGCACACTCCTTACGCAAGAGGAGCGCAGCGAGACGCGTATCTTCCAGGCGCCTCGCCTGTCAACTGTTGGCCGGCCCTTTTGCGATTACGCGGCCTTTCTGTCAACCGCCCATGTCGAGGCATTGAGATTGCACAACCCACGTTGGTTTGTTGGGTAGGTTTGGAAGAAGACCTCGCGGAAGCAAGTACAGTACAGTATTTATTCGAAAGCCCTCTATCCGGCTACAGCCATGTGATTATATAGACACACCCATGATAGCTATGTTCGGCGTACCCGGTATGTGTTTAACTGCAAGCTTTGCCTGTCATGTCAGAGTCGAAATTTTATGTTGGCGCATGTTGGCACCCCCATGGTTAAAACCCTCAGCCACGAAGCCAACCAATCTTAAAGGGTACTGATTTTGAAGTTAGCGGGGGGAATCTGTTGGAAGTGGAGTCAGGGACCGCTGTGTTTGCCAGAGACCCATCGACTAGAGTTTGGTTAGGTCGTTCTGGAATGAAACTCAGGCACCAATCAGAAACAACAAACTGCCGGAAGATTTGATAAATTTAAGCAACCTGCCCAAGAGCGAGGCCGTCGGTAATTCTACTTTGTGCCAATCACCAGTTTCTCGTGATACATTTCTCCTCAAAAGTGCCACAGAGCACCTCGGACCCTCCTAAAACGCTTTTCGGAAGCATCTAGTTTTGGCCCTTTGGGCTTCACAAACGCATGAATAAATCAACTATGTTCTAGATTCTGATTCAAGAGCGCATCTTGCAACTGGCAACCAGGACATTAAACATGGCTTCGATGCTCTGGTCCGCAATGGCCATGAACGAAGCCCTTTGATTCATTTTTAGGGTTCGCCCTTGCTTTTGTTGGCATCGTTTCCTTTGTTTTGGCTTGCATTCGATCAGGTAGCCCTGCTTGGTGGTTTGGATGGGGGATTTGCAGCTTTTCTGCTGAGGCCGAAGGCTGAATTTTCATGAATGGGACCTCTAAACCACCACTGCCAGGGATTTGAGCCCTGTTGAAGCTGAATGGGACGGAGCTCTAAACGAACACCCATCAAAGAAGTCGCTTCGAGGGTGAAGCTCTGCTCCGGCGAATGGTGCGCATGGGCCTGCTGCTGGAGTCCGAGAAGCCGCTCGGCTTGTTGGCTTGTTGAAAGCAGGGGGCCCCGTGAAGAGGAGTGGTTTTCCTTGTTCAGGAGCGTAGTTGTTCCTCTTTTTCTCAGGCTCATTGCCATGGTTTTCAACGGCTCAACAGGTGTATCACGCTGCAAGCCTTCTGTTTCCCGTAGGGACAAAACGTGGTGTGTGGCCTTCGGGATGCTCATTCACCGTCCCAAGTCGGCGCATTGATGCGTCCCATTCACGGCAACCTTTAGTAAAAGGCGAAAGATTGGTGCGCTATGAAGTGAACGCTGTGATAGTTGGGCTGGTGCGGCTCATGCGTGTTGCTTCAAACAAAGGAGCAGGAGTGCTGCTGTTGGGCAGCAAGGATTGCCCCGCGACCGCTCCGAAGTTAAGCGGAGAAGCCACAATTCTTGGGTGTTCCTCTATCTCCCTGTTCATTTCTACGCTTCAAGTTGGCAATTGCTTTGATGTTCAGTGTCACACAACTTGCGCAAGTTGAAAGTAATGATGGGGGGGCTGCCACCAACAGTGTACAATAGTGTACACCTCTTAAATAATACAGCATGCGCAACATATAACAAATGTTGCGAACGAACACCACGCGTGTCTTGCTTTGAGGGCTTCAGGGGGGAAGACCCACTTATGAAGACTGGCTTGAGGACTCTGATCGCACTGTACCTGCAAATGCCTTCGACCCCAAGGTTGCCAGTGACCCTGGAAGCAAAGAATTTGGGAATATGTTGTTTGCTTGATTCCACCTTTAGGTGATGCTGGAAGCAAACCAATTGGGAAGCTTTTTGTTGGGTGGATTCAACGTTGAGTGCATTTACGCAGGCAGTCACTTCGAGTGGAGCGATTGGGGCTTGGCCTTTTTTGGCCCTGGTCACTAGCGCGCTCCAGCGTGAAAGTGGATGGCGGGATTCCTTTCATGTGAACGGGATGAGTACACCAAAGGGAATGACTTCAACATGTTTCACCCAATTGCATCATGAACGTCATGAACAACTGGGTTTGCGTTTTAACAAGGGGCCCTTTCGTGAACATCAATGTTGGGGTTTTGTGTCCACCCACTTTCAAGGGGGCTCCCTACTGAAATCCATATCACATCGGCTTTTTGGACATCACGTTGGATTGTGGGCATTTGGCAGCAATCGAACACATCCACGGATCCGCGTTTTTCTGGAGCGGTAGGCGAGTGCAGCCTATTGCATTTGTCATGTCAGATTGAATCCGACAGCGGCTTTGACAACACTGAATTTTGGCTTCCTAGAAATTATACAGATACCCTTCCACGGTTCCTTTCGCAGCAGTTCGGTGGTTGGCCTCGATTTTGTTTTGATGTTCTTTTTTCTCAGGGTACCCTCGAGAGGGCCGCTTTTTAAGGCAACCCAAAGATAACAATCCTCCATATCGGGGGGCGACCCTGATTTCAGAGCCAAACTTTCTCACTGCCGTCCCCTCTCCCTCAGGCAGTTTGATCCCCCTCAGACAATGTATTCGCTTGCCTAGGAAGCTGGATTTCGTGCTGGGCCTCACCACTGCCAAGATCATGGAGCGCAGGCTGCAGACCAAGGCGCGCTGGCAACACATCCAGTTTGTGATCGATTGAGGGGCAAGCTCCAAAAATCCAGACTCACTCAAGCTTCAATTTGCATAAGAATTCAATCTGCCGGGGGACTTAAAGGACACTTGTTCCAACGGATGTGCAGAGGAGAACGTGGACGCCGTCCTTCCAAAGGCCTTTTGTTCACTTCGCAAAAGCGTAGTTTGTGATGAATTTGGGAGGGACAGTTCGACTCAACTTGATTGCCAGGCAATAACCGATGGGGACACCCAATCTTCTCAATATAGGCACGGAAATCCGGTTTTCCGCCGACTTGTCCAATGACAGGACGCTGTCTCGCGCGCTTAAGAGCACAGCCGGAAGGGGAGAGCTCAACGGGCAGCCAAGTTCATGGGGCATGAGTTTCTGACATGGTCTGCCAGTTTGGCTAGCCATTTTGGCCCGGTGTGCTATTTTCAGCTGGCAAGTTTACATTTTCCGGAGCCAGCCAAACTCAAACTTGACAGCCGGATGAAGCGCACGACATTCTGAACGGAACGCCCAGTGAAACGCCCGGCCTGTTTTGAGTTGGGGACGTCCCCCGCCAAGCATATCCCAACGCGGCCAGACTCGGCCCGGTTTGAAGCATGGCAGGTCTTTAAGCTGGGCCTTGCCAAGTCCATCCACCATGCGCTCCTCGTCTTCATTGCGATCGGGTGCGGAAGGGAACGACCGAGTCCGGGGGCTGGGAATGAACCTAGGGGCCTAGGGATTCCCTTAAAGGAAACCATTTCGGGGATGGTTTCTTTTGAGGGGTCATTCCCTCATTTCCTGCCGAGAACAGGCAAGCTTTGGACATTCCATTGTGGGGTGTCCGGTGTTCGGAGTGTGAAGTTTAGCTGTGTGCTATGTGAGCTGGTGAGCTACTTCGTTCTTTAGTTGGTCGGAATGCATTTGGCAAAGCAAGTGTTACAGGGCTTCTTAACAGATACATTTTGCAACCATTTGAAACGTTGTTTTTTCCACCAAAATAAAGGGACACCACCATTTACAAGGCGATGTTCAGGTGTATAATATAAGGATCCCTGTGTTAAAGGGAGCGTTTGAAGCTTGATTGGACAAGTAAAGATGCCCCCTCTCTCTTCATCTGCAATGTTGACCTAGGATTAATAGATGAATCCTTGGTCAACATTTCACATGAAGGGAGAGGGGACCACGTGTGCGCAGCACAATCCTTGTGCCAAGCCTTATGCAAGCAAACGCCCAAGGACAGACCTTGACACACACGGAGGATGGCAGAAGACATTCGATGAATGATTCTGCTCGGTAATGTTAGAGATCCATCGCTAGAGGCTGGGGACGCGAGTATCCCATGAAGAGCCCACTTTCAAGTTGTTGCCGGGTCTAGGTCCCCCAGTAGTGCCCTTTTCCCTGTTTTGGGGGAGGGTTCCCACACTAAAATAGATTACAGAAAAAAGAAGAAAAAACACGGTACCCTTATTCTGACCTAGGGGTTGATGTGCTCGTTTCCCAGTGGAAGAGCACTCGGACCATGATTCCTTTGGTGTCGAGCCTAGGCGCACGCTCATCCGCCAGCGCCACATCCGAGTGGGCAAGCAAATCTGCAGCTTTGGCCGAGATGGAGCGAGCCGTGCTGTTGAACTGCTCGATGTTGGCTACGCGTTAAAAAGCTACCAGCTGTTCAGACAAGTTGGCGCAGCAAGAAATCTGTTTGCATGCCTCTGAATTGTGGCAGAGGCCACCTTTAATCAACTTTTGAGGCTTAGCAACTGGCGGCAATGGGTTGTAGTGTTAATCAATTTGTTTTCCCTGAGCGAGCAGAAGGGGAAAGGGTGAAATGGGTCATTCTGCACCGCAAAGCCGCTGCTGATGCAATGGGTCATTTCTCTCATTTCTGCTCGCAAAGTCGGTGCGTTGTGGCGCGATTTCGTTGCTTTATCGAAGTGGGCCCTCACAGAATTGAGTCCCGATGTCAAAGATTGGGCTACATGCCCCACTAGATTCTTGACCGGGCTTCGACTTAAAGCAGTTTCTATGGCCGATGTTTTGGTGCGGCCCCCTGAAACGCGCTGGGCCCTTTGAAATGGCATGGGCTGAAGATGAGGTTGCAAATGTGGATGATTTATCAACAGAAGCTTATGTGTGTGTGTGTGGGTTTCATTGGCCTGTGTGTTTTTTTGAGTTTCTACATTTGTTGACTTTGTTTCGATTTTCGATCCTTTGCAGTTGGGGACACGGTAGCGAATCTTGGACCGTTGCTGCATCCCTCGCTTCCAGGCGACATCCCTTCCTTCCTGGTCCGCCTTGACAGACGCTCACCTGCACGTATGCGTCGCAGCATTGTAGCGGTTGAGGTGCGAATCCTATTCGCAGTTCTGACTGGGTGTTGTATCCGTGTGCTCCAGAAAGTTCGGCTGCGGGAAACTTGGGTCCGCCACTGTGAAGAATTTCACGCTGGGGCCGAGCATGACAGCAGTCGAGTTCAGGCACCTGTCCATGACAGGGCAAGGGTCAGCAAAGCACATCCTTTGCTTATTGGTGAATCTTGGTGATGCCTTGGGAGCGGCGCGATCTGGATTTCATAGGGACAACTCCTTGTCACCCTTTGCCCAGTTGCCCAGTGGTGCCTTTCTTTTTGGGAAGGGTTTCCCCTTAAAGTCAACCAATCAAACAAAAATGCCCTGGCATCTGAGCTTGGTCCGCTGTACTATTCTGATTTAGTACTCTGATTTGCCTTGGGCTCAGGAAGCCCAACGGCGCTTCTCTTACAGCTTGGACCGATTCGGGCAGTCGTGAGTATCGACTTTTGGCACAAAGCCGTTCTGGGTTGAGAACGCCGATTCGGCTCACATTGACGCTGGGTTTTCTGGAGGGCTTGTTGTGTGGCAGGGCTTGTTGAGCACATAGGTGTCCTTTCGGAACTGGTTCTAGCCAAAGGGGCATAAGTTTGGTTTGAGTTTTCGGTTCCACTGGTTTCGGCTCTCCGCTGATTCTTAGGCGAGAAGCACATCGACTTCGCCCTGACCTCGCCCTTCGGTGGCGGCCGCCCAGGCACGGCAAGGGTTAGGCGTGTGTTCAAACAACCTGATCACGCCCCCCTTAAAGAGGGAAGCGCAAAGGAGGTTATTGAATTACACGGTTTTAACAAAGGCTGGCCCAACCCCAGGTGTCAAGAATCAGGTTGCTAGGTCCACTTCACCACTCCTTGGCCGGATCCCCTACCAAGCCAGAGGCTTTTTCTGTTTGCAAAGCGGGCCCAGCCCAGAGCACGCAGTCCAAATTTGAGGGTTTGCTTCGAGCGGGTCGCTTTTGCTAGGCCGTGTGCGCCGCAAGATGATGGCCTCCAAAGGCACCGTGGGCAGAGCTCAGCCCCTAGCTGTTTGGCCAGACTGGAGGTCCCATTTTGCAAAGGAGCCTGGCACTTGCTTCGAGTGTAGCCCAGCAGCAAGTTCTGGGGTGGAGAGGTCATTGCAAAGGAGCTGTTCCTTTGCATAGTTTGGCTTTTTGGGAGCTTCTAGCCGTTGGTTGTTTGGGTACATAGCGGCAGCTCTGTTGATGGGCCAAAACTGACAGAAATTACCCATGCAGCCTCCAGTGAAGCAGCAGTGCCTGTCAATACAAGCGGTCGGAGGGCAGACATGGGCAGATCGACCGTACATCCGTTCAGTGTGTTATCCGTCATGCAACAAAGCGAGCGGAACACAGGCGCCTAGACCATGTGATTGCTGTTTGCGTTTCCTGGCATGCTGCTTGCCCAAGGTGTATGTTGCAAGTCTGGCAGTGGGTGGCTCTGTATGAAATAAGCGCGGAATCATACGCTGTGGCGTTTCACGGTGCAGATGTCGTAATGCTGACACATGGATTGAGCTCAGTCAGGCAGTTGGATGACTCCTGGATTTTGCAGTTTTGGTCCATGCCCTGCCGGTTAGCCCAGCTGTGCACAAGCACTCCAACTTCACAGCTTGAGAAGCTCCCACGCCTCTGTCCTGTTGAGCTTTTGATTTCTTTGCAACATCTCGCGGAAGGGAGCGACATGCTCTTGGTGGCTCCCAGCCATCCCCTTGGCCTTCTAGCCTTTTAGTGTTTAGTGGTTGGTTTTCCGTAGTTAGCCCACGAAAAGTTAGTCACTTTTGGCGGGGGATCAGAAAACGGACAGAGTTTTCGACGAAAAGTTAACTTTTGGCGGGGATCTGAGGACAGCCTAGTACTAAAACGGACAGCCTAGTGCTATTTGCCTATTTTTTTAAGCGAGCTCAGTGAGCTGGCCTGGCAGGCGGCGGCGGAGGCGGCGGCGGCGACGAGGAAGAGGATTAGATGCCAAGGCCTGGCAGAGAGGGATGCGACATGCAGCAGCAGTGTTTTGAGAGTCTAGGGATTGATTCCTTTTCCATTCTTTTCAACTATTGATTTCTTTTTCGATAACCAGCTGTTTTCCCTCTTTGTTCTTTTTTTTGGGGGTAATGGTTTCGTGAAAAGAAGTATCCCTGGAAATAATGGGGAAGGCGCCCTTGGAGAGAGGGAAGTCGTTTACCCGAGATCTCCAGGCTTTGCGGCTTTGCACATCTTGGGCACAAATGGGCAATCGATCGCCAGCTTCTTTGCCTGATGATTGGGGTTCGGGGTGTGCCAGAGGGCTGGTTCTTCAGGAGCCCGATGGTTTTGGCACACGAGGTATTAGCTCAGAAGTCAATCAAGGTTTGCAAGGAGTGAACAAACCTTTCTGGAAGCTGGTTCTCACACGCCAGGCCACTGGAAGCCGCCCGATGCCACGCAGCAAAAACGGTGTGGCAATGCTGCGGCATGGCTTGGGCTTTGCTCCCCCAAGCCTGACATCGCATGCTCAAGCCGGCTTCTGGGAAGACGCGTTGATGCATGACTGTTTTTTGAGCGCGAACGCGTCCATGAATATTTGTATGATTGAAAGTGATATCAGCATTGAACCACGAGGGTTGTGCTAGTTGAACCATTGAGATCCTGAGGGTCGGTGATGAGTCATAGCTTGTCATAAATGTGATAGTTGGGAGAAAGAGAGAAAAAGAGAAAAAAAGGAAAAGAAAATGAAAGAGAAAGAAAAAAAAAGAAGAAAAAAAGAGAAACAACATACAGAAAAAGCAAGAAAAAGAGAGAGAGAGAGAGAGAGAGAGAGAGAGAGAAGCAGAGAGAGGGAGGCAAGCAGGCAGGCAAGCAAGAACAAGGGTAGTAACAATCAGAAACGAAAAGATTCACAGAACGAAAAGGGGGAAATGCGGCACGCGGCAACGCGGAAATAACAGAGCCAACAGTCCAGTGGGGCCTCTTCTGTGGGGAATCCGCTGTTTGGGTTCGGGTTCGACTTACGAATGCTTAGTTGCGTACTGCTCACTAAGGCTTTAACCTTTGAGCTGGGAAGAGCTTAGGATGAACCACCTTTGAAAGCAAATGGAGAGGATTTCGATTAAGAATCCCCCCCCCCCCCCCGCCCCGCCAAAAAAGGGCAGCACATTAAAGCGAACCACGAAACAGTCAGATTAAACAGAATCCGGGCCTCTTGTGGGGTACCCCCTTTGCGTGACAGTTTGTCCTTAATTTTAATTATGAATTTGATGGTTTGGGGCCACTTTAAAAACAGGACTGCCGAACGGTTGCCCGGATTTGTTAATTCAGATTTTCGCCCGGATGCTTTTGGACCGATGTTTTTGCGCATTATTTCTCCGGCAGCACACTTTCCATTAAAGCGAGCCTCGACACAGTCACAGGATTCTGAATTGGAAAAGCAACTTTAAAGTATCAAAGCGACCTCAGTTACAAAAGCGGGTCCGACATCAACCTGTTCATGTTGCTTCGTCGAGGCAAGGTTCGAGCTCCTCGAATATCTTCCTGTGCCATTCGCAGGATGTGTGATTCGTTGGCTTGCTGGAAACTATAGTTGACAGATGGCAACATTTGCGTGAAATAAGGCCCATCCATCAGCACGCGCGCGGATGAATCACACCAAACAGGTCCAGATAGGGGAGAGATATTCCTCTCCCCAGCCACGTAAGCAACCAACTCTTTGCCAAGCGTCGGGCAGTGCAGGATAGCCTTGGGCTCCAGCTGGAACGATTGCTTCAAGCAGGAGCTGCCAACGGAGTGGAGCAGACTTGGCTGCTGGGTAGGTGGCTCGTCCATTTTGTAAGGTTGGACCCCCCCAAATGGTGGTATCCTTGTTGGTTTCCCTTTAAAACCAACCGAAAGCGGCTCCAATAAAGAAAGCCCGGGGTGGCTTGATGTTTAGGCTTAAAGATGCATGACGTATGCAAGAAAAAATGGGCCCATGTGACGTGTGCCTCCCAGGCGATTCCATGGAAGCTCCCAGGACCCCAGTGGAAGACCGGATTCCATTTACAGATTCCTTCTGGGAGCTTCCACCTGTCAGTCCGAGCCCCGCGATGAACCCTTACATTGGCGTTCTTGTTTGCAGTCGGTGGCGCTTCCCGATTCGAATCGGCAGCCCCACTTGGTCAGAGCGAAATTAGCCACACCCCACGACAAAGAAAGCCCTGAGCCGCCGACATGCAGAAGAAATCAAGCTTAATCCCAAACACCAATCCTTCCCTGTCCGCGCTGGACTAACCTTTGGCTGCAAGGCTGGTGGGAGCGCAAAATCCTTGCCCTTACGAGACCAACCTTGAATCAGCAACATTCCAGCAAAACCCCAGCTTACGTTGAATGTCTACAACTTCCGTGCCCAGCTGTATAGCACAACCTGTAGTCACTGTGCCTGAAAAACAGCAGCAAAGAAGAAGCTAGACCAACACTGAGCTTCCTTAGCACACGCAATAATATGTTGTTTCATCACTAGTTCTTAATTTCTATAGTGAGAAAGCCTGTTGTGAGGTGCTTGGCTGTTGCAGGATCAATCCTGGCCTTTAGGTGAAAACTTCCTTCAACTTCAACCACTGCTTTTTTCAAGGGTTGGGTCTCAAGAAATAGTCCAAGATCTCGGATGCCTTTGCCCCAAAACCTAGTGGTAGGGACTCCCACGAATCATTCCCTTGTGCCTTTGAGCCAAGGGGAGTTTCAAGTATGAGTTTAGAGGTATGGAGGTTGTATACCACTTATATAAGGGGCATATGGCTACCACATAAGCTAGAATGGGTGGTATATAAGGATCAATATCTCCACAACATCCATACCTGAAACCCTTGGAGCCATATCCGGCTTGGTATCAGGAGGGCGCCCGCCTATACCGGCGAGACCCTTGTGCCCGGGAGTGCGACTTCAACTCGACCTGGCACCTTGGCTTGACGTTCCGTGCGTTGGGGGGGGGGGTTTTGGAGTTTGGGATTAGAGATGGACTTTGGATGCGGGGTATAGTTTGATTGAATTCTGCTGGTTGTCAGACTGGGGGGAACTGCAGGACATGAGTTCTTCTTGAGGGGAGGGCGCCCAAGATATTCTGACATGACCTTGGGCAAACAAGCCTCTGGTGCTGTGCTGCGTGGGACGCGTTTGCACGGATTTCTCCTGTCGACATTTTGTTGAGATTCACATGTGTGCATTTTGAAAATGGAAGACCCTGTTCGTTTCAATGGACATCTATCACTCCTGGACCAATTTTCAACGTTTTTTTTCCGGGGGCTTAAGCAAATGGAAGACCTGGACCTTTTTGTTTTACGGCTCCGTTTTCCACGGCCCAGGTGCATCCTGCATCCCCCGGTGGTGCCGCCGCCGGCCTTTACGGCGCCCAACTTCAATGAGCTTCTGATCTACGAGCTGCACGCGGGGAAGCCCAAGAGCTTAGGTGCTGTTCCGGTGCGCGTTTGAAGCGTATCCGCAGCATTTTGGCCCAGTGGGTTGTGCCCCTTTTTGCAACTTTTTTTTTGGAAGGGTTCTTATGGGGGCTGAGTGGGAGGGAGGGGAGGGGAAGGGAGCGCAAATATAAGCCAGAACATGCCCAGGCTCCGGCCAAAGAGTCGAGTCTCATGTCCGAGTCTCTAGCATTCGATCCGGGGGACCCTGATTTTCCAACCAGAACCCGTTTCTTGGACCCATAAACTAAAAGGTTAACTGGAGGGTCGAAAACAGCTTTGTGGTTGGACAACCAGGCTCCCCTTCGATACTCAGATGCTCAGTGTCCATGGGAAAAAATAAACTGGCATCCTTTGTTGGGTGGTTGAGTTTAAAGGAATCGGAACCTCATAAGGGCTGGGGGGGAGGGAGGGGAGGGGGGAGCCCCAAAAAACGTTGCGCGATGCTTGCCATGTGACAGTTGCCTTGCACAACTTTGGCCTTGTTGCTAAGAGGTCTTCGCAGGCCCTGGCCCTGATTTGAAGCAAGTTCGTCGGACATGTCCGCACAATCTAGCCAGCAGCTTCACGCAGTTGGAAGACTTTGCGCACCAGAGATTACTTCCGTTGGAATTCAACAGGGATAATAATGAGCGCCACACAGTGTAGGGACTGGATGGCAATCACTCTGCCAAGTGTACCCCAACTTGACTGCCTGCTCAAGGCCAAAGATGGACAGGAGCTGTATTTCTGACCACTTTTGTTGCATCGAACTGGCCGTGGCTACCTCGAACTTGGCACTGGGAGGGAGGTGGCATGAGATGCTATTGGCCCACTCGGCCGCGCCCAGATTGGCAGTTTTGTCTCTGAAGAAGACGAGCGCTCGGGGGTCCAAGACAAGGCTATCGCGGAGAGAGCGGTTCGAGGATGGCTGGCTTGACAGATATGCGAGCCCTTCCTTTCGCATTGCACTTGGCTAAGCCACGACTCCCCCTGAAAATTGCGTTCGCCCATGGTGCTTTGCACGCGACTGCGGCTTTGAGCTAGCAGTTCTTCGGCCAGGCAAGGAAGGGCAGGTCTCTGAACACTGGGCTGCCACTTTGCGGCACGACGCTCCAAGTTTCGCACATTCCCTCGCGCTTGCAGCATGTTGGGGTTGCCATGAGGGAACCACAAGCCAACCGAGGTAGAGGCAGAGGCAACCGACTTGGGGGGACCACACCTGTACGGCGGCACTACTGAGTCACTAGTGTTTAGGCTTGGTTTGGGGGCGTGAACGCTTTGCACTACCCTCCGCGGAGAGAAATGGACTAAAACTCGGGCGTGCAAGCCTGTTGGCCTTATTTGGCCCCAGCAACATCAAGCGCTAACCCTTGGGCAGTCTTTCAGGGGAGGGGTTGCAGGGTCCAAAAAGGCGGAACAGCGATGCTGCGGCCCTAGGCCGGGCTTTTGCAGCCACGACAGAGAAGCTCGAGCACATTGCATCGCTGGGCAGGGAGCTCAGTCTGCGACAAAAGGCTGGAACGGTTTGAGCGGACGTTTATGAGCTTCTGTATTCACGTTGTGTGTGCTACATGGGGGCGCGCGCCATTGCCGGAATTGGCTGCCATTGCCGAGGGAGCGGGAGAGAGAGAAAGAGAGAGAGGAGTGCGCAAAACTACAGATCTGCATATGTGGTTCCACAAGGGGCAACGTTCGAAGGACTCACCTTTTGTTTCGCAGTTGGGACAGCGTCACATGGCTTCGGATCCTTGTGCCATTTTGTGCCCCTGTCACGATGCCAATCAAGGAAGCCAGACACAAGCACATTTGACAGGGTAACATTGTTTGACTTGTTTTCGAGCATAGCGTGAACAATGCAGTGCCGAAGATGCTTTGCTGTGAGCAACCTCGAAGTTGTATTTGCAGAGACGCACACATGCGGCTTTTAGGTTTTGCAGGTGATATGATGATTCATGCAAACAGATGTGGTTTAAGCAGGGCATAATGCAGACAAGACGGCGACTGCTCTGCGGCTGAGGTTTCAACTGCATTCAGTTCATGCCTACCGCGCTCTGGGCCTGTTGGCTGTTCGCTGTTGGTTGGTCACCTGCCGTTTGCTTCTCAAGTGTCTCTGCGGAAACAGCACCATCGTTTGTGAGCATTTACTTGGTGCCTTGGCTTTGCTGGGCTGACTGCTGAACTGTGGCGCCGGCGGCAGCGAGGTCGACAGTCTTGCGGGCTTCACCGTCCGCATGCCATCATTCTGCCCACACGAGTATAGGCCTCAAACCAAGTGCACATTTCGGCAACCCTCGCATTGTTCACCTTTCGCGATTGTTGCCTCCTATCCGCACTGCAGGGCGCATTACGAAGGTTGCCACCCCATTCTGTGGCGGTATGGTTGGGTCCCTTGCTGGAAGAGTTGCTTGGAACTCATTACACAATTTGTCTTGGGAATGTATTTCTCAAGTTATCATTGCACATGCGTACTCATTTGTTTCAGGACTACATTGGTTTTAGTTTTGTACTACTCAATGTTTTGGGCAAGATGGGTTGGCCTTTTCGCCCGAGTCACAGAGCATCTCCATGCAGTCCATAGTGCCCACGGCAGTCCGTTGGATGCCTCCACCAATGGCGGATTTCTTGTACTGCGACTCTGTTCGTATTCCTTCCAAGTCGGAAGGAAGATGCTGGAGGATTTGGCAAAAACCCTTAGATTGGGGGTGGTTGCAAGCGACATGTCAGAGTATCTTTGCACATCCTGGGAAGTGTATGAAAGCGTCACCAAGAAGGGGGGTGTTGTCATGCACTTGACATTGGCTGAGCGTGTGATGGTTTCCAGAGCTTGCACTGGGCTTTTGGTTGCCACTGGGTACAGCTTGATGTTGCAATGGGCAACGACCGCATCGTCGCTTTATTTTGTCGACCCGGAGAGTGTCAGCAGCTTCGATTGATCGACTGGTTTTGCCAAATGACCTTAGTTCTTTCCACAGGCCACTCGAAGGAACTGCCCCTTGTTTTTTGTTTTGTTTTTTAAGCTTCGAAGGAAATGCCCCTTCGTTGTTGTTTGTTTTAGACGGGCATCAAAGAAGGCATCCGGGCATTTTGGAGCATAGCTGTCCTCTCAAGGCCAGCTTGGCAGTGCCGTACGGACTCATTGGAGGCCCAGTTAGTTAGTTCCCTAAGCACTCGCTTGCGGTCGAAGCCCTCCGGCTGGCTTTCACAAACCTTTGGCATCGGCCCATCTATGTAACCCAGTAGCTCCCTTTTACCAAATCTTTTCTGGGGGAGGGTTCCCAGACTAAAATAGACTACAGAAAAAAGTTGGTAGCCTTATTCTAACCTCTCAACTCTGCAGGACCTAGCATCTGATTCACTCCTCCGCCGGAGCTCGCTCTCGCTCGCCGCCGCTGGAGTCGAGCTCGAGCTCGAGCGCTGGCCAGGCGGAGTTCGGTGGCATCTGGGGCTACAACTCCAGGCAGCTCATGGCCTCGACGGGGCCTCAGGCCTCGAGGCCCCGAGGGGCTTTGATCCGAAAGGCGGCGGCGAACTCACGGCCCATATGTCCCTTCTCTGGCGATCGGTTCGAGAGATGGGAATGAGAAATGGAGTCTGACCCCACGAAAAACCATCCCCGATTTGGTTTCCTTCAGAGGATCCCTAGGTTCATTCCCAAGTTATGATCCTTGTTAATGTGGCCCGCAGTGCCTTCCTAGTTTGGAGCCTTACAGTTGGGTGATACATGACGAGCTCAATTTCCCAGTTTGGTTTGGTCATCCCCTCCCACAGAAAGGGTAGCAAGGGCCATCCCCGAACAGTCACTTGTGTGCTATGCCTCTATGGGTTTGAATGAGCTGGACCATTGGAACAACCCAAACTGAACCACGCAGGATTCCAGCGCCGTGCTTCTTTGCCCTTTGCGCTCGCTGCCAGAGGGGTTTTGGACCATTCTCCCATGACAAGCACTCAGTTCCTGAGTTCGGTTTCGGAATTAAAGCCACCTTTTTTGGGGTTTGGACCATTGACCATTTGAGTGGCAAATCCAAACCATCGGTCATTTGTGAGCAACTTCCCATTGACCATTGACCATTTTCGGGTGTGGACTCGTTTGGACCATCGGTTTAGTTACTTTTTCTGGGCCGCGCGATGGGGGGTCTGAGAGCCTTGTGAGTGCTTGAGGCACGGGCCCTGGGGCTCAGCGGCAGACATGCGCGCCATGGTGGAGCGCGCGCCGGGGCCCTGCTGAGCTCTGCTTCAGATCCCCTCCGAAGGGCCCAATGGTGGCTTGGGGAGACCTGGGTTCGTCTCAAGGGACCACAATGAGGCGGTTTTCTGAAATTTCAACCCCAAGGGCACCAAAAGGAAACAGTCATGAATAGGGTCACGAACCATGATGCATTAAGCTGCTGGGAAGTGCTGAGAAAAGGGCCCTCTGAAACAAATGAGGAGATCAACGGGGAAAAAAACGAAAACCACATTGATGGTCAGAGTTGAGCCTACTCAAGTAGTCTCTACAAAGTCCCTTAGTACTGGTTTGGACTTGTTTTTGTGTGTTCCCGAAAGCATGGCGAAGGGTTCTTCCCCTGGGTTCACTTGAGTTGTTCTCATGAGAGTCATTACAAGGTGTCATTACAAGGAATCATCATCATGAAAGTCATTGCAAGGAGTCATTGCAAGGAGTCATTGCAAGGAGTCATTGCAAGGAGTCATTGCAAGGAGTCATTGCAAGGAGTCATGGCAAGGAGTCATGGCAAGGAGTCATTGCAAGGAGTCATTGCAAGGAGTCATTGCAAGGAGCAAGGAGAGTCATGCAAGGAGTCATGCAAGGAGTCATTGCAAGGAGTCATGCAAGGAGTTGTCAAGGAGTCATTGCAAGGAGAGTGCAAGTTGCAAGGAGCCAAGTGCAGAGTCAAGTGCAAGTTGCAAGTGCAAGTGCAAGGAGTCAAGTGCAAGTGCAAGTGCAAGTGTTGCAAGTGCATGGAGTCAAGTGCAAGTTGCAAGTGCAAGGAGTCAAGTGCAAGTTGCAAGTGCAAGGAGTCAAGTGCAATTGACTTGCGAGGAGTTAAAATCTCTTCTTAGGGCGGCGGGGTAGTGCCGACGACACTACACGAAAATCGACCCTCTGCGGGGATCGGCGTGGTCGAGGTGCAAAAAATTCAAGGTTTTTTGCGATTTTTAACATGCTCGCGCGACCCTCTGCGGGGATCGGCGTGGTCGAGGTGCACGAGTTTTTGCGATTTCTAAAGTTCCCGCGCGACCCTCTGCGGGGATCGGCGTGGTCGAGGTGCAAAAACTCGAGGTTTTTTTGCGATTTTTGAAGTTCCCGCGCGACCCTCTGCGGGGATCGGCGTGGTCGAGGTGCAAAACCTCGAGGTTTTTTTTGATTTCTGCGGTGCTCGCGCAACCCTATGCGGGAATCGGCGTAAAACTCAAGGTTTTTTGCGCCTTTTGTTGTTCGAGCTGGTCCTCGGGAGTTGTCTCGTGGTTCGCGCGCCTGCTCCCGGGACCGGCGGGTCGCGGGTTCGATTCCTCCCTGGTCCGCGGGCGGGCGTCGCAAGATGCAACTTGCATAAGCAACTTGCGCAGAGCAACTTGCGCAGAGCAAGTTGAACAGAGCAACTTGCGCAAACCAACTTGCACCGACCAGTTTGCGCAGAGCGCCTTGCCTAGAGCAACTTGCCTAGAGCAACTTGCGCAGAGCAACTTACGCAGAGCAACTTGCACAGAGCAACTTGCACAGAGCAGCTTACACAGAGCAACTTGCAGGGAGCAACTTGCACGGAGCAATTTGCACAGAGCAACTTGCAGGGAGCCACTTGCAGGGACCAACTTGCATGGAGCAACTTGCGCGGAGCAGCTTGCGCCGAGCAACTTGCACAGTGCAACTTGCGTAGAGCAACTTGCGCAGACTAACTTGCACCGACCAGTTTGCGCAGAGCACCTTGCCTGGTGCTGTCTCGCGCTTGCTTCACGAATGCTTCGTGTAGGGAAAAAGAACGCATCCTGCAGCGTTGGGCCGACCTCGCTTGCGATGTTATGCTTTCGGGCCAACCGTGGTCTAGTTTCTTTTTGAGCTGGCCCAGTACTGTTTAGAATTGGTTTCTTATTGGTTTGGTATTCCATTCTAATTACTGGTTCAGTAGTATTGTTTGGCACTGGCCCAGAGATTTGTATTTGGCCAAAATATCTCTGGGTGGCTGTGTCATGCAAAAATGAGTATTTAAAGTTTAACTGTGTGGGGCCGCAGCTGGTTTGCTGTTGCTAGCTCCGGATCGGCTTCGCATTAGTATTGCCAGGGCTTGGGATCATGTGTTTTATTACCCCCTCAACGGACAGCCATACTTTCCACCGGAAAATCACAAACTTGTTTGTATATCCTACCACTTTATCTTTTTAAGGTGAGGAATCATTTGGGAAAGCTTGCGGAATTGGTTCCCTATTTACTATATAGTTCATCGCTGTTGATATTAACCGTTTCTGTCGTGAAAGGATCCCCTTCAACTATCTGAAGCCGGAAGTTCACCACCGACCGCCGACCACTTGCATCTGCGGATGACGAAACGAATGCCAGGCGGCCCGTTTTTGAAAGAAAGTTTGGCCGCCGGCAAAGACAAGACATGTTGCGACTTTTGAGGGTGGGGTGGGTCTTTTTAGAGGGACCCCCAAACAAATTGTGGTTTTTCGTTTGGGTTTCCCTTCAATGCCACCAAACAAATAGGGGTGCCCTCAAAAAAGGGACGCCCCCCGCTTGTTTCGAGGGCGCGGAAGGCAGTCAATCAACGCGGTTTGAGGCACAGCCTCGGCATGGCGGTGCTCTTCGACGTGGTGCTGAACCACGGCGCGCTGCTTCCAGCGTTTGGCTCGTCGCATTGCGCGAGTCGACATCTGGCTGTGGGTCAAAACCAGTGGTACTATCTTGGGGTAGGTGAACTCACCACCCATTTTAGTCTATTTTAGTGGGGATTGGGATGTTCACTGCAGGTACAGGATTTTGTCTCATGGCCATCTGGTTCAGACCCAAGGCTTGAGTCACTCAAAGCGCGCATGAGCATGAAGTCTTGGAAAGGAAAAAGCTGAGGCACTGCAAACAGCCAAACACAACTGGCCTTGTACGTGGCGTCATGATGGCATCTATTGTTTGGGTTCGGTATTGTTCAGTAAGAGGAGGGCGGCCTGGGTTTGCCAAGGGTCCCCAATGCAAAGAAAGTGCTAGGGACAGGGACAAAGTCTAAGTGGCGCGACCCTGAAGGCAAATGCCTTGAAGTCATTTCACTCATGCAGTATGTTAGTGTTTGCTCATTGGTTTCTTTATTTTGGGATATCATTGGGTCCATATTATGGATGCCAGGTAGAGACGTTTGGTCGACACCGGCCTTTCCCTTCCAGCAATGACACTCTGGCTCGTTCTGAGCAGGGGCGGCATAAATAGCTTCATGCAGAATGGCTTCTCCCTATGCGAGGAGAAGCCATGAGCATGTGTTAGATTCTTAATGCTGCTCTGCAGGTTCCGCCAAGATGAATGTGTTGTGGAACTGGGATGGCTTTGGCGCGGGCCTCAGGCGAGGCGTTGATCATGTTGCCTGGCTGACTGGCAGGGGGGTGCTTTTGCGTTTGAATGCTCGGCTCGGAGGAGTTTGTGGAAGCTGGGGTGGGAGACACATCCTGCCAACGCATCACTGATTTACTGTGAAACCACATGCATCATGGTTAACTTGGATAGCTTGAATGCAAGATCAAGACAGCCATGTGCCCAACTGCACCCAACACAGTCCACAGCAAACCGCTTCCACCGGATTCGGAGGGCCACATGCTGTGAGTCCACCTAAGGACCCAAGGACTGGTTGGGAGCAACTGTTCAGTTGTTCAAAGCCCACCCTTTAGGTCCACTTGTAGTAAAGGCCCCAAAAGGTTAGCCCTTTTATTTTTTTGGGCAAGTGTTCAGTCTTATTGAGCCGGAGAAACTGGTCGGGCGATCTTGGATTTGACTCAGGCCCGGACAACTGTGGGGGCATTTTCTTCGAGGGCGAGAAAGATACGCCAACGCCTCACTGCATGTCCAGTGTCCAGCCAGCTGAGTTAGGACGTGGAAGCTGCTAACTTATCAGATGGGGTCTGCAAATGAATCTCCCGGTCGGCTCCCATTTGGAGCCGGAATTCCAAATCAATTCTTCATCCTTGTTCCAGACGCTGGCTTCGCTCTCTTGTGCTGATGTCCCACTACACTCCTTTTCTCGACGAGTCGAGATCCCCCTCCCCGTTTACAACGGAAGTCGACTGAGTCACCTCGGCTCCATAGGCCTAAGCGTGGCAACTTCCGCACGAGTGCCCCCAGGCCTTGGGGGAAGCGCTTTGCCTTCCACAAGCCGGAGGTGCAGGACTACTTGAAGCAGGCGGGATATGGACAGCAAACCGTTTGGTTCGCCTAAGGACAAGCGATCCGGGTTTCGCAAATTTGGAGGATCAGCGGAAACGCTTTGCATCGAAATGGGCTTACTTGGCAAATCTTGGCAACATGCCATCCGGTTCGCAATTCGAAGATGGAAGATTTGGCATCTCAGCCGGCTCACCCGGGTTCCGTGTCTGAGAGTGGATTTCACAAAATGTAAAACTCCCGGCTCGCTGGCTCGCAAGGCCTGCAGAGTCTGGATCGAGGAGTACGGAGTGGATGGCCTGCGCTTTGACTCTGTGCACAACATGCGCTGAGCCCAGGACCTCTCATGTGACGCGACTTTGAACATCTTTGGACACTGACCCCAGATGAATCAACCCCCCCAGTTATGCATATCTCACTTGCTGAGTTTCTGGACTTACTTTTTGGGAAGAGAATGGAAAACAAAAAGTTCGGACTTTTTGTGGCCAGTTCACTCGGGAGGGGAGGTTTTTTTTGGGGGGAGTCCCTCCAAAAGTGGTCTGAATCCCCACTTATGCCAGGGACACTCCCATATTGATAAACAGGGGTTGATGAATCCGCGGTCGTGATGAAGAGTTGGTGCCCAACAGGTGAATATGTTGCATCAGCCGGTGATGACATCTGTATTTGTGGAGTACCGACGCCCTTGTTGGCCGCGTGGGCCAATAGTCCCTCGCCATGCATGAATGAAAGTGTACCCTCACTTTTGGCTGCTCAGTTCATTTTTTTGCAAGAGTTGGGCCGCAATTCAGCAATGGAAAATAAGGTGGCGCCAAAAGTGAATCGCGTGGCCCTGTTCTGCGAGGCCATGGTGGCTTCTTCAGCAAATGACCTTTGAATTGAAGGCGAGGAGTTGGAATGATTCGATGCGGCGCAGTAGAGGTGGCAGTCCAATAGTGCATGTGTGATCTTCCAAAGTGGGGGAGTATCATATGGATGTATCATTTGGCAGCATTCTATAGTGCAATCCAATCTGTTGGTGCAGTGAAGCAGCTGACTGGGTGACAAATGCTCGTCCCGTTACCAAGTCTTGGGACCTGGGCCATCGCCGCCGCGCCAGTCGCACTATCCCAACAAGATCCTCATCGCTGAGATCACGCCGGAGAACCCGCAGGCCGCCCGGGTTTTCGGGGCGGCTTTTGGCGCATCGACAGGAAAGGGAGGGATGGCGATGAAGGAACAAAGGCAAGGTGGGTTTCGTCATGCCTTGACATTTGTGAGTGACTGTTGCGCTGGACCAGTAGATTGCGCGGAGAGAGAGAGAGAGGGAGAGAGAGAGAGAGCGAGAGCAAAACAGAACAATGGGGAGAGAGAGAGAGAGAGAGGGAGAAAGAGTGACTGTTGCCAACATGATGCGCTTGCAATTTGCTTGACCCTGCAGCAACTTGTGTGAAGCCAAGCACACGAAGATGAGCTTTCATTGGAGATGCTGAAATCAGCTCCACACCCTCGCCCGCAGGTCATCAATGATGCGGGGCTTGTATCTCAGCATTGCGCCTGTCAGCACCCGCGAAGGGGTGCCGATGTGTTCCTTGTCTTTGGTGCTTCAATAGCCAGCGAGAAGAGCTGCGGGGGGATGATGTTATGAGGTCTGACGCAAACGGCTAGTCGTATTTTGCTGGCTTCCCCTGAAAAAACGAGCACAAGCAGTTGCTACCTCTATCAAGCTCCAGTAACGGACTCACTCCGCTCAGGTTCCACTCCTGCTGGCTGCATGCCACTCACTTTGATGGAGTCTTCGCCTTACAGCGGTTTCGCCACTGCGACTTGCGCTAGGTGCGCTGGGTTTGTGCGTTTAGCCTCCCAATTCTTGGACTTCAGTCGAACGCTGGCTCCCTATCACCAAGAGCAGGTTGCCACTACTGCATATACAGAAACAAGTAAATCCTTAGTGTTTGTAGGGGGACAGAGCGGTACCTTTCCTGCAAGACTACGTTTGCAGCTTTGTTGTTTTGCTTTCTGTGTGTGTGTGTGTTTTGTGTTCTGCTCTTTGGCTCCGTTTTGTTTGGCTTTCTTTTTAGCAGACGCGCGTTGCGGCCGGCGCCCAGATCAAGATCATGAAGGGCTGCGATGGTGGAGGGGATCCTGGGAAGCGCATTGGCATGCTCAAGAACATGGCTTGCAGCCCAGGATGGTCGTGGTATGGGAGTGTTGGGGGGGACGGCCCATTTGCAGGTATCCCATTTGAGGAACACCCGGCTACTTGTGAAAAAAACAGACGTTGTGTTAGGCACCGAAGGCTCCCTGCTTTGAGTCGTGACCATGCGCACCAGTCGGACCTAATGGAGATGGAGCATTCTAGTGGACAAAAGGTCAGGCTGCTTCTGATTTTATCGAGATGGGTGATCAAGACAAAAGTGGAGAAGGCTTCGACCATCCACAGGTTTGCCTGCGCTTGCCGTTTGGCCATGGGATGGGCGTAAGTGCAAGGAGTCAAGCTTGTAGGGTGCAAACTTGAGTTCACAAGCGCTTCCCCAAACAACTCGTGTTTTTTTTGTTCTTCTTATTTTTCCTGCTATTTGATGGCCGGTGCTGGTGGCTTGGCATCCACGCGCTTTGCATTTTGGTCCCATCCGGCGTGTTGCCTTTGCCCTGTAACTTGGGATCTAGCCCTCTCCAATGCTCCACTCCCTTTTGCCCAGAAGAACACGCCTTTTCGAAAAGCCCTGGGTATTGTTGCCCGAAAGCGAGCCGCCAAGTTACTCCAAGACAGGTTGCTTGAAGTGAAGAATGGCTGGCGACATCAAAGACGCTGTTGAAGGTGATTTGAAGCTTGTCACAAGTCGCAGACGGGCTTAGGTCGCCCCTCACGGCTTTGGCAACATCGGGGGCGTGCACTCGGCCATGGGTTCGTGGATGCACTCAGCGGAATGGATGGGTCTCATGGGCGAATGGGGTGCGTAGGGGCCGTACTTGACGAAAAGACATGACCCATGGCAGGGGCATAGGGATCGAGCTTCATGGGTAATTTATCAGCTTGCATGGTTTTTGTATGGTCATGATTCTAATGCAGATTCAGAGTGACATGTTCATGCGGATCATTCTTAGCTGCTCATCCTGAATGTGCTCGCGCCGAAACTTTCTTGCGTCTGGCAAACCACGCTGGGAATTCCCTCCAAACAGCCCAGGCAGCAAAGAACCAAGGGCTGACTTCCCCTCCAAAGGCATCAAACCAAGGGGCCCAGATATCTGGTTTCTCTGACTGAGGCATGATCAGATTGGCGACCGCGACCATGGCAAGCAGGACGGGCCTGGCCACCCAGACCAAGGCTCCCCAGTCCCTTGGGTCTGCAAATGCCCGTGACCCGTACCTGGGGCCCCCTCACCTTTGCTGCCATCCCAGCCCCTTGAAAATGGAATTGAGTGGAGGGGGGTTCTGAAGATTGGAGAAATGGAATTGGCCCCCCCCACCCCCCTCGCCCTGAAGTTCTGAAGGTAGGGGGGATCTGTTGGCTCCTGGCGGGGCAAATTCAGGGTAAGCGCGGCATGTAGCACTTGCACAGGCCAAACTGCAAAACCAAACTCGGCCAGGATATCCCCGGGCCAGGAGTGACACCAACCTCTGGCTTCAAACTACCACGCTTCGGTACGTACACATCATGTGCTATCGAAGGGTAGAATAGAGGACAAGCAAAATAAGATCAAATCATATCATACTATGAGACCGTCCTGGTTTGGGGGGTTGGGGCATTTTGCCATGCGCAAGTTTGCCAGCGGTTGCTATGGTGCGCCTTGTCCAGCGGGTCGGTTCGTTCGAGGCATGGCACCCACCGCCACTTTGTCAGCCGCTGGGGTGGCAAGGGGAATTGGCACGCTCGTACGCCCAGTGCTCAGATTTCGACACCGACGGATTTTCAACTCACTCCCCTGAGGTCCTGGACTTTAAGCTTTTCAGGTTTGGACCAATTGAGTGGTAAAAAGCAAGTGTACAGACTTGTTTTGGCCATGCAACTCAGGAGGTAAGTCTTTCAGGGCATGAGATGTTTGCTCCAGGTTTCAGATTTCCCACTTACTTGAGAGTCGCTTGTTGGCCAGTTGCTGCAGCAAGGCAAGGATGGCTGGCATTTTTGGCATGCACACATTTTGTTTTGCCGCTCGTTCAGCCTACAGCCGGAGTTCCGCAGCCGGAGTTCCGCAGCCGGAGTTCCGCATTGGGCAGGTTTGGAAATGATGAGGGCTGTTCAGCTTTCAAAATGAACAAGACAGTGTTCCAGGCGTTCAACACGGACCTTTTGACCTTTGGTTTTCCAATTGTGGTTCGTTTAATTCAAGGTTCCAAAAGGTCAGCCCTGTTCTTTTGTGTCCCTAAGGGGCAACTGAGTGACACATGGACAATCAAGGAGTGCTCATCTACCCAGGCAGTGCAGAGCCTGGTTCGGCTTCCAGAACTGCTGCAAAGGCCCCCGTTGTGCTTTTTCTCGTCGGCGCTGTTTTTGTTTTTCAGCTTCAGGCGGATCCAAGCCGCCGTTTGTTTCAGAAGGGCGGCCGCCGTTTCATGCAGAAAGGTGCACCATATGTTGTTCCAGTGCTGCTGCCGTTTTGGCAACTCGCGGGGAAGGCAAACCCAACCAGGGGGGAGAAGCAGGTAGGTAGCTATCAATTTGTTCGGAAGGCCGAGCTCGTGAAATTGTAGAGACACGCAGTTGCCTTGGACGCACGAGCACACTTGCATGTTGGGACACGTCAGCAAGCCGTACCCAGCTATGTTCTGGCTTCCGTTCCTGTAGTCGTTTTTTAGTTGTATTCCTTTCTCTCCTTAGTGTCTGGAAAGCGTTGGGAAACGTGTTCACACGTGTTGAGCAAGCGATATTTGCATATTTGAAATGTGTTGTGCTTATCACTCTCTCATTAATCTCTCATTAGCGCAAATCAAACTGCTATTGTCAGCTTTCAAAGTCAAGTCTTGACGCCTTGCTTGGTGCTTGACAGTGGCACGCCAGCACATGCTATTTACGATCAGACTTTGGAGCATGGCGCGCAGTTTTCCAAAAAAATATTGCTTGAGGTGTGTTTTTTGGGGGCGGAGCGGGTGGCAGGATTGTGTGCGCACAAGCGGGCCTGACATTTCCTTTGCTGGTTAGACTTGCCATTTCTGAAGGGGTTGTCCGGCTGAACTGGCTTGCCACCACCCGGTGCTGCATCTTAGCAAACGAACACGTGCTGCTGAATTAGATTTTCAAGTTCGACGATGCTGGTTCATACCTCACATTGCCCACACACATGCTTTGCTGCTTGCTTAGACTTACCATTGCGACATTCCTGGTTTGTCAGGCTGGGCATCAGTTGCATCTTTCCCAGGCTTGCGTGTTTTTCCGTCTGCTTACATTGGCATTCGACATTTCTGTTTCACATGCGAGCAAGGAAGGTTCCCACGCGGATTTGTGTTCAACACACTTTGAATGGCAAACGAAACGTGAAGCTTTCGGTCCCCTGTCACGGTCATTGTCTCGGCGCAAGTGGGACACAGCGGCGCGCATCATTTCAAGATCGCAGTTCCGATGCACGCTTTCCAGGTTTGATCTCGATGCAAGTTGATCGGATGCCTAGTATCCCAGCTAACTATTCAGGCCATGTTGCCGGCGGATGGCTTACTCATGTTCACTATGGGTGGATGGGTGGGGCCAGACCGGCGGAGTGGTTCGCGTGCTGCCAGGCCTGCCGATGACCTTTATGGGCAAGACTGGCTTGCTTGTTGGCCTTGCCGGGCAAGCCTGGCTTCTCTAGAGCCCTCATCATGGTTGTTGTTGGGAAACATTTTACATTTTTGCTTATTGTGGTTTAGTGGGAAACCCCACTTAACTGCTAACGTTTAATTTTTTGCTCCCCTTCCAACGTCAACCAAGTCATATGTTTGTTTTTTGCTCGATTTGCTGAAAATTACTGTAGTGACTTTTCGTTGAGCCATTCTCTGACGGTATTTGCGATTTGATGCTGTTGGAAGCCTAGGGGTGCCATGAGTGCCAATGGCTAGCCAATGCACCCTTGCAGGCACGGAGAATCTCCAAGAGGACTGGTGGCATGTGGCGGAGGCCTTACGGTGCAAAGAAGTGGCGTTGCTTGGGGAGCGCCCTGGAAGAGCCTGCAGACATGACTCACCTTGCGCCAAGGACAAGCACCATCGCATGAACTGGGGCCTCGTCGAAGGACGCATGCTTCAGATTGCTGGTGTCTCCTAGTCCTGGACAGGCTCCTGGCATATATATTCTTCCGCACGGAAAGCCTGACTAGAGGAGGAAGACGTGCGATAATGCACGGAGACTGCGGGACTTCATTCTAAGCCATCCAATAAGCTTCCTTGACTTGCCTTTTATGTTCTTGAGCGTCGCTGAGGTTGCTTATTCTTGCCAAACAGTTGTTCAACGCAAGTGAGCGCTTAAAGTGGGTGACTGATTGATAAAAGGACCCCCAAGCACTTTGCCAATTGAGGAAGTCGCTAAATAAGAGGGAGAGGGATTCAGGGAGTTGCCCCTCATGCCCTGCGAAGAACAAGCGGATTAGTTAAACTGCACCATCCTGCTGGATGTGATTTGATGAGCCAGCTCATGCCTTTTTCTGGGCTGAGGCAGCAGCTCAGCTGCAAAACGTTGATCGCAACCAACAAATGTTAGCATGACCCACTACACATAGGTCTCCTGTTTGATTGTTTTGGTAGAAAATAGATGGCCCTGGTTGACCTGATGTTTTTCCGTAGTTTATCAGGGCCATTCGTTTTCCTGAAAGGACACCTATGCCACCGCAAAATTTGATTTGCCAATGTAGCAAAAAACTGGCCGAGCCGACGTGACGACTTCTTGCCAGGAGCGGATCCTCAGACCATGGAGATGCGCGCCTTTGTTACCGCATCCAACAAGCTCCGCATCTCCTGTGCCCGCAGCTCAGCTTTGGTCAGCCTCGCTTGAGTCACAGTCAAAACCTGGGCAATTGGAGGGCAAGTAACAATCGCCTTTCCATAAATTGGTGCCGATATCTGATTAGGTTTTGATTATGACTCACTCGTGTGTGTGTGTGTGCAACGAGTGGTTTAGCTGGGTATGAGTGCCAGGAACGTTAAACTTCTGCTTCTTCTGTTGCAGGGGCGGCCGCTGCCAGTGGATTATGAACCGGTGATTCGTCCATGGTTTAGTGTGGCCTTGGGGCATGTACCTGGACGTTCCGAGGAGGCGCTTACCAGAGACGATGTGAAGTTTGTGCACGAGGACCTTGGCCGGATTGTGGGAGATGAGTGTGCAATGAATGGACCGGAGGGTAAGTAAGAATCGACATTTGAACTATTCCAGCGCAATTGAAGGAGCAGGTTGACCTCGCCTCGTCTTGCCCTTTGACGTGATGTCTACGTGGGTATGTCACTGTGTCAAAGTAGGGGACGCCAGACAATTATTGTACTCTGAACAAAGGCACCTGTAGTTCTGGGATTGTCCGGAATGGAACCTTATTGGAAGCTGGATCAGAGAGTTTAGCAGACTAGCGAGAGGTTCCGCTCGGTTTGACTGCAATGCTCGAAGAGAAGGAAGATGGATCCATGTTTGACAGGCTGACCCGCAAATATGAACCCATGAACCTATTTCTTGGTAGGCATTTCTTTCCTGGCAAAGATGCCGTAAGAAGAGCAGATGTCCGACCACACATGTCATGTCACATGCGATTTGAGTCAAGTAGAGAAGAACATGTGCGCGAAAGCAGCTTGCAGGATCCAATCACACTTACTCAATTGCGCCTCATTGCCGTGCAGCTTGTGCCTGCTTTGCTCGAGGACGGCCAGAATGCAATTTTGGCCTTCATGCGATGGACGCAGGACCAATGCCGTGCTTGGTTTTCTGAATTGGACCGGATGGATGTAAAAGCACCCTCCCAGTAGTACTAAAGTGAAGTGTCCATCATAAGGTTACGAGGTCGAGCATCGATGGGGTGTTGCCAGTGAGCACCTCGAAAACGAAACGAGCAATGGCCATTACCCTGCAGAGAAATCCCTCGCACTTGCCGAATCCAAACCCCCCTGCGTGGCTTTCCTCACATTTAGATGGTGCTTCACAGCCAACCACCATCTTTGGGAAACGAAAGTAAGCTTTCTCTCCCTTTCTGGGGTCCTTTGGTCCCAGGAAGCTTGGTGGGGGGGGGTTGACGGTTGGGCCGGTGGCTATCCGGAAGGATGTCGCAGCATTGTGCATCGTCCACTTCGGCGAGGGTCAGTGGGAAAATGCTCCCTGGCGAGCACTGGAGCCCAAAGCTATGCTCGCCATTGTGTTGATTGCGTGTGGTCGTGCACGGGGCAGCCTACGAAAGCAGCAGCATAGAGACTGAGCTTAGGATGGCTACGGAGTGCCGGCCTTGGATGACCGTGTCAAGCCAATCTCTCAGTTTGAAAATGGAATTTGCTGGTGTGTGCGTGCGTGTGTGTGTGTGTGTGTTGTTTTATTTTTTGGTTTGGTTCCCATTTGGTTCATGTGTTTGTTGGAGATGCATTTGAAGGTACCATCTCTGGATCCGTCTAAGACGACACCACGCGGCACGGCACCATGATATCATGGACACACAGACATACACACACAAACAGAGCACACACACACAGATATAGGCACAGCCGCAAAGACAGACGCGCACACAAAGACACACAGACACAGACACACGCACACACACACACACAGACACACCGACACAGCGACACACCGACACAAACGCACAGACAGACACACAGACACAGAAGCAGGCACAAAGCAAACAGACCCAGAATTGTCATTTTTGCGCATGCATGGGGTAGATTAAGGGCAATGGTGAATCTTGCTGCAATGATTAAACATACTGGCTGCGCCGGTGCACATGAAGTCAGCCAAAAGCCGCTGAGAAATTCTAGAACAAAAGAGATCCATAGGCTGCATTCAGGGAGATCTGCGTACTGATCAGGGAATTGAAGCATGGCTGGGATAGTGCTTTGGTTGTGTGTGTGTGTGTGTTTGTTTTTGAGATTGTTGGTGTGTGTGATTGTGTGTGTGTGTTGTGTGGTTTTCTTGCAGTGTGCGCCCGCGGAGCGCCAACCTGCTTTTGCTGCTTGCAACCGGCCGTGGGTAGTGATTGGGTGTCCTGCAGTGACGTAAGAGTTATCCGCGCGGCGGCAGCACGAAACAACCAACATCGCACATACACAATAAAGAATAGGAACCAACGAAGGAAACTACAAAAACAAAGCGGCAAACAATCACCTCCACCACCCATCTGAGGTGAAAACGGACGCGTTCCTTAGGGACGATACCCCCCCACCAATTTACATGGTTGTTGTTGGGAAGCATTTTGCATTTTTGCTTATTGTGGTGTAGTGGGAAACCCCCACAATACCCTCCCCCACTTAACTTTGTTTTTCGCTCCCCTTCCAACGTCAACCAAGTTTACTTGAAACCTGACGTTTGGGGGTTCCCAGTAAAGGGAAGCCAGGGGGCCACGAGGTGTCCACCACCTGGGGCGGGGGCCGCACCTGGAAGCTGGCGCTCAACTCCCAGGCCAAGGAGCCGGGGCCCCGAGCTGCGAAAGCTGGACCGAAACCTACGGTTGTTTGGCGGTTTAATTATAACCCATACCCATATACATATATGTATGATTATGTATACACATGCATTTAAATATATATATATATATAAGTATTTGCATAGATAAATATATATATAGATATATGTACACATTGTTCATAAAGATGCATACAGTTGTACAAATGTACTATACATATGTATATCACACATGTGTATGTTGACATGAGCCGTATACATGTGCATTGAGGCATGTGGGCGAGCAATGCAAATGCCATCAAAGACACGGAAAAGGCGAACATCGGCAGAGTCACGGGCCCGAAGGGAACCCTTGCCACTGGCCTGCTGGTTTGTGCCACTGAGAGGTGGTTTGGTGGGGCAAGCACTGCTTGTCGCCAGCCGCATGCAGTAGCATACGTTTCTGTTTGCGATGGTCAAACCAAGAGAAGGACCTATTCGTTTGTGCTGAAATACGCCGGGCTTGTTGCCAGTTTCCAGCAGTGACCAAATGATTTGCTGGACGTCTCGGCCCGAATTGAGTGATACTGATTGAGAAAGAGCAGGACAATTTAATGTTTAGCGCGTTTTGGGTGTGAATCGAAACTCCGTGGAATTCGCAGACTCGGTTCTCCCTTCTCGTGAGGGGCCAGCAGCCAGGTGCTCAAGCTCAAGCTCAAGTTTTGCAGAATTTAACATATCATCTTTCAAAATGAAGTAGTATAATAGGAAGTTTTTGGAAGGAACTTCAGTGATACGGGCACTAGTTGAAGGTAGCTTTGCGCAAAGGCAAGATGAAGAAATAATGAACACATGCGAGAAAACATGAGCGGGCGTGTGGCGCGGGAATAAAATCACGAAGAAGAGCAACCGTGCGGGTGTTGGCTTCCAAAGACAAAGAGAAAGACGAGAGAGAGAGAGAAGAGAAGAAGGAGGGACAAGAGAAGGGTAAAGATAACAGCAGCTCTTACACATACATACAGTATACCTATATACATACATAAATACATACATACATGTCCTTCACATGTGATTGTGTACCTATTACATATATATATATATATGTATTTATATACGCATATATATATATATGTGTTTTTTTGTTTTTTCGCGATTTTGCTGGGTTAACGGCTGGCACCATTTTACATAAATTGCCCTTCAGTGAAGGTGGTAGACACTACAGAAGTCCTAGGAGTAGGGTTGAACGCTGAAAACGATACATAAACACCTTGCGCATGCCTCTTACTCGGGCGAGAAGATGGTCATCAATCTTTTGTTATCCAACTGCTATCTAGTTGTGCTCCAGCCACTGCAATTAGGCTCAGCGAGGACGATGTCAGTTGTTCCCATTCGGAAATTCGCCCGCGCAAGCTGTTGCTATACTTTTGGCATGCGTTGCTGGTGGCATACTTCTGATCTCCTTGTGGCTTTGGCTGACCTAAAAAGGTGAAAAAAGGGGGAGATACCCTCAACCGCCAGTTGGAACCTGACAGGGGGTCTTTGGAAGCCTTTTTTGCTTTTGAAGGGACCCTCCGGTGGGCTCCATGTTAAGGAGGCCACCTCCCAAAGCAGCTGGTTTGTGAGGGTTCTATGCTTGAGGTTTGGCGGCTGGGATGGCAGCAGCACGCCGGAGGCGAAGGCGCCGTGGCTGACACGTGGGCCACGTGTTTTTCACTTGGCTGCCTTTGCTTGGTCTAGGTCCCCCCACTAGGTGCCCTTTGACCACTTTTTTTGGGGGAGGGTTCCCCTATTAAAATAGACTACAGAAAAAATGCTACCCTTGTTCTAACCTCTCTACTGGAGGAGTTCCAAGATGGGGTTATGAATCCAAACCCCGAGGAGGTTTAGAACCCCATGAGCCAAACAGAGGCAGGGAGAAAGCAAAAAGCGGATCGACCTCGTGACCCATCGACCAATTTGGTCCATAGTCAAGGCTCAAAAGGTTCGCCTGTTCCTGGGGTAGAGAAGCAACTCCAAGGGCGAGTTCCCAAGGTTTCCTTGAATCCGCTCGGTCACGAGAAACTCCCACCGGCCATCGAGAAATTTTTAAAGCGGGGCCTTTGAAAGGCCTTGAGCCCAAGCCATGAAGATGGGAGGCCCGCAGGGGACATTGACAGACTGAGCTGGCCTGTTTTGGCGGTGTCCTTTTTTTTGCAGGCTTCTTTCCTTGGTGGATCACAGCCATTCCCTCACCTTTGTAGCTTTGTGGCTTTGTAGGGTTTAGTGGCGGTTTCCATTTAGCCCACCAAAAGTTAAACTTGTAGCAGGGGATCAGGAAACGAACAGTCCCGTTTCATTTTCCATTTCCACCAAAAAAACTATTGAATTTGTTTCAGGGTGTGTCAGCCTGGCGCAGTGAGCCATGGAAACGCCGCCCGCGGCCATCGCGCGACGATGCGCAGAGCAGTTGTGCTCAGAGGGCTGGGCCGTTCTGGACTCATGCCGCTGGGTTGCACCCGGCACAGGGCGCAAGACGCATCTCCACTCGGTTTTGCCACTGCTTGTTTTCACTGCTCACAATGTGAAGGAGAGCATCATTGTGGATCGTTGGCGAAAGCTTTTAGGACACATTTCTAGCTCACATCAAAGATAATCTTCCATTTGTGTAAGAATATGTGTGTTTTCCCCTGTTGGTATCCCAGGACTCTCAAAGATGAAGTTGTGGGAGGGGACAGAAAGACGCCTGGATTTCGATCTGCATGTATAGTGAGCTATGTTCACATTCTTTTAGGGTTGGCTTTACTAGGTAAATGGAACTGGGTCCCGGAACACCCCACCCCCGCTCGAGGTAGGGGATGCGAGTACGTTGTTCCAAATGGGGTTTCGCCAAATTTCCTTTGACAAGGGAGCCCCGTTAAAGTGGTAACGGAGCCATGGGGACAGCCCCTTTGGCGTCACAGACAGGGTGAACTTTTACGATCATGGTCGAGTAGCTGGTCGGCGCCGTTTCATGCCGATCAGCGGGGCGGAAAGGTGGAGACTAGGATGCCGTCACTCGGGCCTGCTTTTCTCTGAGCCCTCGCAGCAAGGGCGTATTTTTTAGAGGATACGGATGTTTGTGGGTGGTCTTCGGTGCTTCAACCAAGAAGGCACTTGCATCAGAACGGTGTTGAGGTCTGCCAGATTGCTTTGAAGTCTTAAGCTCGAACTTTGTTGCTTCCAGATGCCACGACAAGCGCCAAGAGTTCTACTGCATCGTGTCACTGATTCTCACTACACTGCCCTAAATTTGCATGCAAACTTGCCAAGCGAGGTACAAACTACGATGCGCCGAACAAAGACGACCAAAAAGGCTTGCGCCCAACTGCCCATCCAAAGGCGCCAGTCAGATCTTGGACACGTCTTGCAACACGTGTCGGGCGCCTCGCGTACCACGCGCCTCGCGTGGGCGGCGTGGGTCTCGTCCGAGGCATAGGCGCCCTTTTTAGGTTAGTTTGATCAAAAACAGATGGCGCTTTGATGGGGTTTCTTCCATTTACCAGGGCTATTTGTTTCTCCCAAAAGGCCACCTATGGTCCGAGGCTTGGGGCACTCGGAGGCTTTGGAGCTGCAGAAAGAGGCGCAGCGCCTGGAGGCGGCGGGGCTGATGGAGGCGCACCGCGGCTTGGCCGGGGATGGGGTGGGTGGGGCGGGGGGGGTGGAGTTGGGATCTCCTCCAAAAGCCATGTTTCCCCAACAGAAGAAATAGTTGTTCATGAAGGCCTGGGGGTTGACCAAAAGGATTTTTATGGGGAAAAAACCACTAAAAAGATGATACTTGCCACCTGGGAAAGGTTGCTCATGGAGAATTTGGGGGCCGGCAGTATTCTTCCGCCAATCAAAGCAAGCCGCATTTCTTGGCTTCAGCTTCCATGGGGCAAAGGCTTTGAGTTCGCCGCGGAGGGCGAGCGCCGGGAGTACCAGCACCAAGGCCGCAGCTTGGCCTCAGCGCCTCCCATTCCGTTCATCGAGGTTTGTGCCAGGTCAGGACTCGTCGATCAATCGATCGATCGGGTCCCTCAGAGGTCGCCGGTTGGAAGGGAGCGCTTTGAGCCGTTGCGGAGCTGGTGATATCATTGCTAGGTCCAGCAATTGGTGCCCTTTCTTGCCGTTTCTTTTTTGGTTGGGAGGGTTCCCCTATTAAAATAGACTACCGAAAAAGGTCGGGTACCTTTATTCTAACCTCTCCACCGGAGGACCTAGTGTAGGTGCTTCCATTCTTGTTGGTCAGGGAATGAGAAATGGAATGACGCTGAGAAAACCACCAATAATTTCCTTTGAGGGAATCCCCTTCCGAATTATGCATTCCCAACAATCAGGATTGTTAGCCGGTTTGATGATGCCTGTAAGGCATAGCTGCACCGAGAAGTAGCCATGGAACCCGAAGCAGTTCTAGAGAGAACTTTGGGGGGAGGCCTCACGTGACGGTTGAACGCGGCATGGGTTTATTTGCTTTGGGTAAATAGAAGGGCTTTTGAGTAGTGTACAGTCCAAAAATCCTTTCCAGCCTGTGCATTTCTTGGTCAAGAACAATGGAGCACAGAACCTGCCATGGGGGTCACGCAGCCCGGGTACTTGGAGTTTATTGGTGTGGTCATCAGCCTCATTCAGCCTTTGAATCGTGTACCCTCCCACCAACTAACATGGAAGTGCAAAAAGGCCCTTTCCAAGAGGAAAGTAGTCCTTCCACAGGGGTCTGTGCACTTCCATGTTAGCTGGTGGGAGGGTATGTACACCGGTGTGCGGGAATGGTTTTGATGGATTTTGTAGTCACCGCACTGCGTGGGGCCTCGCAAACGGGCGAGTGAACCGTACGCAGAGGCAGAGGCACTCACGCAGTTGCACGGACCAAGCCGAATGTGCATCCGGACCGAAGCGAAGTAAATCATACCCCACGTACAAACGAGGGAGTCCTTGCAATGTAGTCAGGGGGGCGTCCCAAATGTAACTAGTTGCGTTTTGGGGTTGTTTTTGGTGGGCACCAGTCTGCACCCAGAGTTTTGTAAGGGGTCCAACCTGCTTTTTCAGGTTCCCTGTGGAAAGAGAGGGCAATTCAGAGGCTTTTTGCTCCGGCCACTGTTCACCTGCTATTTCTGGTGATGCTTAATCTCCTTGCGGTTTTCCAATGCACTCCGCGAACCGCAGGACGCTCCCCGAGATGGTTAGCTCCAATTGCAAACGCACCCTTTGAATTATTTAGCACGTATGTACTCCTGACCTTTCTGAGTCAGTTTGGTTCAGCATAGACACTGGTGCCATCTCTTTTGTACATAGACGCCCAGGCCCCCCAATGATATGTCCATGGCAGAAAACCGCTGATCAAAATTGATAAACCGAGCGCCCTTTGCCAGTGACGCCTGTGTCAACACTACTGTAAATGAGCACCCTTCATGTGTGATCCCTGATCATCATTCGCGATGATCCCTCGGCATAGGTTTCCGCATGCTAATTTGTTTAAGACCGTGAATATCATAGTTGAATTGGTATCATAGTTTGATTGCTATCTAGATTAGGTGTTTAAAAGCAGGAATAGTTGTTATGTTGCTTTTTCATTAGCTTCAATTGCTCAACTTTAAAAAGCACGAAGCAGTTTCCCAAAAATCAGGCACCCCCTAATTGGTGGTTAGAGGATTTGAACCGCAGGGGAAAGCTGACCCAAGGGGTAGGGTGGTTTTAGCGCTTGTTTCGGTGTTTCTGTCGTCAGTGGTCTTTCGGGCGTTAGAACCCCGCAGCCCTGCCCCAATCAGGCACTCACTATATAATTGCTGGTTTGGATTTGGAATTGAACCCTTGGTTCTACAGGGCAAATGGGAACCCCCGCCTTAACTCCCAAACCACCCAAACCACCAAACCCTTGGTTCCAGAGGGCCACCGGGAAACCCCTCCTTCCCCCCAAAAAAGCACTCAATCTCCAAGGGAAAAGCTGAGCCAAGGCTCCTTCTTGGACTTCGAGCCGCCACCCCCTGCGGCGGCGCTGCCGCTGGCGCCCGGCTTGGCCGCCTTCGCTGGCGGCGGCTTTGCGGCGCAGCTGGCGGCGGAGCTCACGGCGCGGCAGCCGAAGCTGGCGCTGAGTGGCCAGGTGCAGGTGAAGCGAACCGACGGCGATGGATTTGGGCACGAGGCGTCGATTTTTTGGAGTTGGTACCCCCCCTTGTTGGTGTTGAAGGGAAACCAACACGGACGTCTGTCCATTTTAGGGGGTCGGGCGATGGCCGTCCATGTCGTTAGGTCTTCGGAGGCCTGGGATCCGAAAACGGACAGCCCAGTGATTTGGGCCAAGTGAGCTGAGAGGCGGTGGCAATGGGTAGGGCACAAGGCCGTGAAGACTTGAGCCTCACATTGGGGAATTCTTGAGCCCGGATATGGAGGGAACTTCGAAAGCTTCCCTTCTTTTCGCAGCACGCATGAGCTTTGTCATGGCAACATGGCATGCGCATGTTCCGAAAACGCGATTTTACCAATGCGTTTACTTCTGGGTAGATCATTCTTTGCGGCTCCTCCCTTGAGTTTTTCCAGCCACTGTCCAATTGCCAAAGCCTGAATGGCTTTTGTAGGACACGCGAGCCCGGCCTTTCATGCTCGCATTCGCCTTTGTGCTTATTTGTGTGTGTGTGTGAGTGTGTGTGTGTGTGTGTTTGTTTGTTTGCTGGTCTGCCTGCT